AAATCTTTATTCTTGTATGGAAGCGGGCGGTCATCAGTTTGAACATTTAATCAACTAAGTAGTAAGTAAGCAACTAAACATAATTTAAATTTTAAAATGTAAATTTTTTTCCAAAGTATTGGACGGAATTATAAAATTTAAAGTCTGTTGTAAAGAGAATTGTAAGAGCTTTCAAAAGAAATATTACTCAACCCCCAATGCCATTTAAATATTTTGGGGTGATGCGTTTTTCTACGCAGTTCCTGATGGTTCAGTTTCGTTCTCATTTGGCCATTCTGTATAAACAACCAGCCTCAGTTATAATTAGCCGCCTATAAAAACACAAATCTCTTTCTGAATTTACAGTAAACAATCTGGTGGTAGTCGTTTCGGTTTTGTGGATATTGGCGATCAACGTTGTAGACGATATTATTTACTGTCATACAAACGAGCTCCTCATGGAAATCTACACCTGAAGAATCCATCTTCTAGAATATCCTTCTTTCTAGAATGAGATATTCGCTAACGGGATCATCAAATATCGCTTGTAGAGTAGAGCCAATAATAATCCATATGTTTCCAATCCACAATATGTAACAATGTCACCAATCCTACAACTTAGGTTTAATCAATATTTAGTGGTAACAGAAAGTATACAGGGGAATAGCTAAATAAAACAAAAAGGCACCTCGAAATCTTTTGACTAAAAACTCATCTAATTTCATTTGCTACCTTGGGAAGGCAACTTAACGCGTGTGTTTACCTAAGACGTTTAATTTTAGAGAACTATTATATCTAACTACAAATTCGTGGACAGTAGTAAATGAAATTTGAAATGAGTTTCTACAAAAAGACATCTGATATTGATAAATAGATATGTAAGCATTCAGTTTAGGTCAAGCTAAGATAAGATTTTCTTGGAATGGAAGATATGTCAAAATAATATGTTTTTCAGATACAGACGCATATCCTACATTATTCCTTTTCATTAATATTATTTAATTATAATTATAAAATAATTTTAAAACATTATTTGAATTAGTTCTAATTATAATTATTCAATAGCAAATATTTAAAGGCAGATGAACTGTTACTGATCTTCATGAATCTCTCTCTGACTTGATAATTCGAGTTGGATAATAAACTAAGCGTTGTCTGCAAAATAACATAACAGTTCATGAGGGAAATTGGTGAAAAGAGAAGAGTTACTCGATAGCGGTCCCCAGTAGGTAGTGAGTGCAAAGACGCTCCGCTAGAAAAGATGCAGTGCCTCATGATTTATATTTTGTAGGTTTTAATTTCTAAATCCAAATTGGCGGTTTGAAAAGTACCATAGAAATTGGTATTTACCATTCAAAGAAATGTGTTACGTGTAAAAATAGGCAAATGTTTATAAAAATGACAAACAGAGAATTGAAAATTCGATTTGCAGTATGCTGTCTCGTTCAAATACTCTTACCAATCTCAGCAGCAAATGGAAAAGAACACACAAAATGGGTAGTAAGATTTTGGAGCTAAAAATATAAATTTGATCATTCAAGTAGCAAACTGTTCCCATTAAATTCTACGCAAATGACTAAATTTTTTAACATTCTAATGCATTTCTTTAGGTGGTAAATACCAATTTCTATGTTTACTTTTCGATCCGCCCATTAGGTTCGCGGTAACAAAATTCAGGCAAACAGACAGAAAAATGTGTAACTTAAAAGGGGTAAGGGGGTAGCTGGTTTCCAACCCTCTGAGGAATAAGTTATATAATATTTTTTTGGTATATTGTCTATATATTTGGTAGTATAAAATACAAGGCTATGGTTTTTCACACTGTTTTGTACTAACATTCGTTATTTGTTTTTAGGCATGGAATTAATCCCCTCGCAGGGGTGGGTGTGGATTTAATATTTCTAATGCTCAAAATATTATTTTAAAAAATTTTCTCAAAGTATTTAAAAATTATTATTGATTATAAATCCTTATATTATTATCCCGGTTTTTGGGCTGAAAATTCGGATTCAACATCAAAAAATATACAAAGTCTATGTATTCGTATCTCTGGTGCAGAACTTTTTTTGTGGGGTTGTTTTATTAAATTGAAGAACCGTTTTTATGTATATACGGGGTGTCCCAGAATAACGTGTACAATGGAATACCACAGATTTGTAGACTCAAAATAGACAGATCTAGGCTAATTCACCTATATCCAAAATCGCTTTGTTTGGCCGTTAGATGGCCTCAAAGTTGGTGAAAATTTTTTGAATTTTGTAAATAACTCGAATACCTATTAATCTGTTTTGATTATTTTTGGGGTGTGGACTTTTGCTTTACATCTACACATTTTGGTGTTATACAGAGTATTTTTTTTAAACCTACAACCCATACAAAATTGATGTATGGTGATAATATCCGTTCATAACTTTTTCCGCTTTCGGGCAATAATGACAACTATTTTTTATCTGATAGGTGATACCATTTGGAAGTTTTTGGGTCTCTTGTAGAATTTTGATTAAATGAGCGGTTTGGGTACAATTTTTTTTTTAATTTCTATTTTATCCCACCCATATTACAATACTTAACAAATTGCTAGTAGGCACTAATTTTGTAGCTTGACTGTAATTAATTCTAGTCTAATTTTTAAATCATTATGCCTGACAATTTTTAATGAGTGTTTACGACGATAAGATATACCATGTGCCCAATTTTATTCAAATAATTAGAAAAAAAACATCAAATACAACGCATTGTTATCATTATTATTGCTCCTGTTATTCTACCCAATAGACTGAATGGGGAATTTTATTTAGAATGTTTGCAAAACACTACCCGAGTTATTGGAAGGTGCGGTGTTATTACTCAAAGCTAACATGTGGTTTATGCATGATGGAGTTCCACCACATTCACTGTAAATATCTGGCAATATCTGAACCAAAGATTCCCACGTTGATGGATCGGTAGCAGGGATTATGCTCCCGCTCGACCTGGTGAATCTGGGAGAGACAACTTCCAGGAACAACGAGTCATACTCACCCACCCTGGACACCCGGAAGTCCACAATCCAAGAGAC